TGTGCTTAAGTAAATCAGTCTCATTGCAATCAAGCTGAGCCGATAATGAGTGATTCCAAAATTCATCGTACTGTTAATGACGACATTAGTAATTAGCTAATTAATGATTACAAAATTAACACTCCTATTTATAATAACTTTGTATATGGGGTATATTTCAAACCCATTGGACATTTTAATTTGTTCAAGTACCCTAAGAAACTGATCTTTCCTGTTTGCTTTTCTTTTATGTATCTCTTCCTCCATTAGATTTTCGGCCTTTTGCAAAATCTGAATTATATATGAAATTGACATAAATAAATGTTAATAGAAATTGATCAAAGAAATGAATCTGAATACATCATAATTACATTAAAAATCTACAAAGTTTCACAATGGATTCATAGATCATTAAGATGTGTTTTAACAACGGTACGTAGGTGACAGCTGACATGTAATGGAAGTTCTCCAATTGCAGAATAGATGGTTGCAAATTCTGCCTCTGAATCATCAATAGCCAGTTGTAGCTGAGCTCTAGAGTGGTTAGCCACATCAAATTTTCTCGTGTATACTTCTATGCATTCTTGTTCAAGCTCAAGCTCAAGTTCAAGTAACATCTTGGCCCTAGACATTTCAGCCTTGCCTACTTTATCCCAAAAGTATCTGAATAAAACAGTTGAATAAAAAAAATTGGAGCTAATCACGGATGAAAACACGATAAACAGTTAGCTTGTATTATACCCAAAGTTCATACAAAAGAGACCTACAAGTAGTTTCCTCTTGTGAAAGAGGAGCATTCTGAATGTCACCCATATTAAGAGATATTTGTAACCACAAAATTATTAACCTGCAAATATATCTGTTACCAGATAAGCAAACAAAAAAGAACAAATGTATTAACTTGCGAACATATATTTAAGAAATCTAAATGATGACGAAGGCATATGCAAAAACTGATACTTTACATTCAAGATACTTAATTCTACTATTCTAGCTGCCTTAAAAGCTTATACACTTAATTTGGTATAGAGTGCTGGGGCAAAGAATGGCCTAGACTTATATACACAAGGCACAATATAATGAAAAAAAATACACTAACCTACATACACATCAGAAAACAATGCAAAGAAATAAACCAAATCTGATATAACATAGACTCGGCCTTTATGATGTTTATGTGTAGCTTAAGCTAACTCACAAAGTCTATCCCATAACTTCCTGGCTTGCGCTTGTGAGTAGCTTGGTGTATCATATGTCAGAAAAATGAACACCTTAAATTACCCTCCCCTTTTTAATAATCAAAAGAGAGAATGCAATACATATCTATTGCCTTTATTATCTCCCCAGGCTCTTCCCTCCAATTCATCAACCCAAACACAAAGCAAAAGGGATCTGAAGCCTTATGTATCAAGTTAGTAGGATGTATGCAAATATCTAAACTAAGCATTTAAAACTTATTCGCCTATAAAATTTAGGTTGGTTTACTTAAATTAAAGTATTCTATAGCAAATTTGGTAGCTCATACACTAAGTTATTCAAAGCTCATCCAAAAGGTGATGACTAAAAGAAAACTATGTATGAATTTAATAAAGGACCATCAAAAACTTGTTAATTGTAATTAGTAACTGATATTTGATGACCTATAAATATAGGTGTTAGTTTTTCCTCAAAGTATTTATTGTAAAGTGATTTGACAATGAATTTAAAATAGGATTGTTAGATCAATGAATATGTCATAAAACTATAGTAATAGTCAATGAACTTGAATTGCCTCCCAGTAATCCAATATTGAGGAAAAACTAACACCTAAACTATAATAATCAATACTGGGCTAACACATAATTAAAGAATATGTCTGTGATTTAAACTTTTTTTTTTTCCCAATTTAGCATCACCTTAGTTATTATCATGTTGCAGAAAACTATAGAATAAAGCTATATTTTTTGCACTTCCTGTTGATAATCTGAAGTCTATATCATGATGTTCCTGTCACCAAGTTTGCTGAAACTTCTGCTAAGCCTGTTATGAGCACTCCTAAGAAAGAAGAAGCTGAGGAGGGCTCTTCCAAACAGGCATAATGAGTCATGTATAGAGAAACCAAGAAGTAATTCTAGAAGTAGTAAACTAATATTCTTAAATATTTCAATTAAACATGCACATCACAAGAACTTTTTTATTTTCACGATATAAGATCAGTACCATGTTCTGCCATTAATTTGGTTTAACAGCAAAATATGCAAATGATAGCATATGACCATCATCGATTTGCAGAGAAAGATAAAAGGAGGGCAAAAGAGAATGCAAAATAGTTAGGAATCCATAAAGTTGGGATTTAAAAGAGTTTAAATAGGAAAGGGGATTTCAAAGATAAAAAGGCTTCAAGAAACCTTAACATGCACCTATACAGTTTGTTTCATATATATAACTGCACAGATGTTTTGTGTTTAAAGCCCAAAAAACATTACAGTGAGAGCAAACTCAAATACATCAGGCCATTGAATACATCAGGCAATTGAATATAGGTCCACAAACCATTTGGAGGATTAAGCTCAATTAACTTTATTTGATGTAGCTGTTTAGCAAGTTAGTTTGAAGATCATACTGTAGTTGGTCCAACCAGGACCATACTGCTAACCTTTTGCATATTAAACAAAACCCAGTGAATAAAGCATTACAGAAACATAGAAAATAAGCACATAAACCATAATCTAATCCCACAAATCATGTCAAGAATCATAATTTAGCATCCACAACGATAAAACAATCACCAAATTATGAAAACAATCACCCAAAAATATTATTTGATATCAAAATGTTATAGGAAGGTATATTCTTAAAATGCATTCATGAAATAGTTTATAAGAAAACATATGCCACTCAGCTCCTACTTATTTGCTCTCTAAAGAAAAATAAATCAATACACGAGAATGGACTCAACGATCCACTATGTCTATATTATTTGACTCGATAAATTACAATGTAATAAAACATATTTTTTTACTCCAGATTTCACCAAATTACTTCCATAAATGAATCATAATATCTTACAACACTAAGAAATGGCAAAAGGTCAGATTATCATTATATTAATCCTAAGAAGCAAATTTGTAGCAAAAATTGAATGTTTAGAATCTTGCATGGCATAAATGGTCAATAAGTCCTTCACCTTGAATTTTCTGCACATACACATCCATGACATGAAAGACTGGTAAATCAGAAGTATATTCAGAAGGCATCATAAACCCTGAAAATTGATTGCTAATTAAACAAGCTAGGTATTTACTCACCATCCATGAAACATCCATCTTCGCCTGAAACATAAGCTCTAGTCAATATGAAAATAAAATCGGGGAGGGTTTGGATTGTTTCGAAAAGAATCTCATGCCTCGCACTGCTAACCTGAATATGACCGAAAGTTTAAACTTTCAGATACATCAAACTGTTAGTCCTCTATAATATAACATCAAAACATATTCCAAAATTATAACAGGTGATATTCCTAGGCTTACAAACATATTCTTGATCAACAACCAAAATAGCAAAACGCTAAATTATAATGCATCCTTTTGGGACAATGGGACATATTCCGCATTTCCAGTTTAGGAAATGTTTAGCTAGTTCTTTTAAGATACATTATAATCCATTTAAAGATAAACCAAGACTGGAAATATAAGGATACCTACCTGTATATAGTGGCACTCTCAGAAGTACCAAGCCAAAACCTACAAGAGCAACCAAATAATAGAAATTCGAAATTGAACAATGCAAAAACAAATTCCACAAATTGATTATTACTGAATTCTTGAACAACATAACACTGAGCTTACCAATTTATTTACCACTCAAAACTCTCACCAATTTACTAAAAACACCTCTGATTTGACAAAAAAAAAAAAATCCTAACATCAACTGAGCTTGTTTCTCAATCAATCAAATTAAAATTCCATCAATTCCACAAAACACAAACAAACATCAACAACAACACACAAATCACAACAAAGATCATAAATAAATCATTACATTCTAGAAATTAATCAAAAAAATAAATAACAAATCGACCATGCGATAATACCTGAGTATCTTCACCTGAAACTCGAATCCACCAAACCTGGGTCCATCTTCCTCCTTGCAAAAATTAAATTTTTAACATCTAAAACTCCCATATAACATAAAATAGTGAAATTAATAATCAAATAAAGTCAATATCTTGAAAACTTATAAGACTAATACCTTAATTTTGGTGGGGTTGAATCAAAGATCCAAAGTAATCTCCTCTTTCTGGATAAATACTGAAGAACATAAGGAGTGACCCGAATAGCAACAACCCATGCTTCGAACATCAATCCGTGGGATCAAAGCTGCGGCAGAGCTTCTTCCTTGCTTGGTTTCTTCTGGAACATTCCTCCGAACACTTTGCTTTAGGAAACCATTTGAAATCAAATTCAATAAAAAAAACTACATGAAAAGCCCAGAAATAAATAAAACAACCTTCATATAAAAGGTAAAATCTAATCAAGGGGATGAACATCAAAGTATCGAACCAATTAGAACAAGAAAGATAAATGAACCTTAGCAACCGCGTCGCCAAAACCGATGAAATTGAAACACCGAGAAGAATCGAAGCCCATCGCCATGGTTTTTCAAGGATGATCGGTGGTTTTGAGCTCATCGCCAAAATTGTTGAAGGAGGACATATTTTCTCTCTCTAGGTTTCTCTCTCCTTGTTTCCCATTAAGAATTCTGAGCTTTTTTTTTTAGATGAGGAGGAAAGAGAAGGAAGTTTGTGAGGAAGTCGGTGAGAGAGTGAGGGGCAAGTAAAGTCGGTGGGAGAGCCGGAGAGCAGCAGACATCAACAAAAAGGAATAAGGGGTAAAATTGGCAATTCATTAATTTTGGGGGCAAGGCTGTAATAGCACCACAAAGTACTATTCACCAGCTACAGTAAATTCTTTTGCATGTTTATAAGGGTTATGGATTATAGATTTTCCGTTTTTTATAAACCCTAGTAAAAATAAATTAAAATACTCTCCATAGTTGAAAAAATCGAGACACATTTTTTTTTTTGAAGAAAAATCGAGACACATTGAGGCTCCAATTTGCGACTTATTTCTGGCAATCTACACTCTACACTCTACAGAGAGGCGGCGGAAGGAAGAGAAAGAGGGGGAAATCGGAAAATAATAATGCTGGAAAACCCAGCCGACAACACTATTTCTGCTCCAATCAAGAGATATGCACCTCCCAATCAGAGGTATTATCATCATCTTCTGCTTCTTCTTTATCTCGTTTGTTTATGAATCAAGTTGATTGATTTTCGATATGAATGCAGGAATCGTAGTCTCAACCGGCGCAAATCTGGAGGTAATTCTTGCAATTTCTTATTTGATCTATGCCAATTATTTTTTCAATGATGTCCATGGATTTCTTATTAAAAAGATCACATTAAAATGCTTGTTGCTGTTGCTGATGATGCCATCTAAGTGTAGTGTATATGTGCGAGTATCTATCAACCTAACCATTTCTGTAAAAAACCTAGTTTTGGATTTGATCTATAACCGGCATCCTCAACTTCAAAATGTTACCATTTACAGATTTACCAACATTGTTTCATTAAATTCTAGCATTGTCGTTCCCATATGTCTTTACTAATGCATCTTAATGGTCATTAGGACTAACGCAATTCATGTAAATATAAAACACTCTGATAACAATACTGGCAAGGAATTGAGAGAATTGAAGGAATTCAATGGCAAGGAATCAATTATTAATTACTAAAAGGCTACATACCCTATTTTGCACACTGATACTTCTACCTATACTTACAAGATGCCAGAGACAAAGTATCACTAGGAGGGAGGAAGATGTAGGTGATAGTGAAGGTTTTCAGGGTTTGACTAGTATACCCTTGATCTGGTAAATGGGTAATCATGTTGTTGTAGTAAGGCCAAATCTGTGTTCGTGTCAACTCTAATCAGGTTGACTCTTGTTGGGTTCAATTTCTGAAATTAAACCCTATTTGTTTATTTTCGGGTTAGGTTCAAGTTGACCTTGTTAGCCCAAATTTTATAATTTTTTTTCATGACCCATTTAACATATCATTTTTGGGTAGACTTGAACCCACAGAGTAGTACGCAATTTATAAAAAAGCTCAAGGCGCATTGAAGCAAGAGGGGTTCGGTTGCACCTAAGAGTAGTTAAATTTTTTTGGCTGAAGTTCGCCTCAGGCGTTTTTTGTGCGTCTAACCCAAAACGCCTCGCCAGACCAAAATAAGCGCTCACCCTTGATCTCCTTGCGGAGCTTTTTCAAACACTGGTAGTACAAGCTTGAAAGAAAAGCAAATGAACTTGAAAAAATAGCAAAGGAGCTAAATTGCTGGTATTGAACAAATAAAGATAGATAGAAAAGCTGAAAAAATAGGGTAGTCGAAATTAAAAATAGGTAGTCGATTATAACCCTCGGTAGTTGCCCTAGTTGGCTAGTTGGGATGGGGTTAATAATTTTACTAAGTGTAGTTGGGATGGGATTAATTTTATTAGGCTAGTTTGATGAGTTTATATAGGTCAAATGGACATTTATTAGGTTGCCCTTCGTTTTGAGTTATAAGGTTAGGTATGATCTTCTTACCAAGGCTCACTTGGTCTCGTCTTTCATGGCCTTAGGAGGAGTGTTTGTGACATTCACCACGGGTCTCAGTCTCAAGGAAAGGAAGAGAGTTGCGCTAGGTTCATGACGGGCCTAACGACCTTTGTAAAAAGTTAGTTCCATCTTATGGACATGGATTGATTTTTTTTTTTTTTTTTTTTTCTCATTAAATCTAGCTTTTGTCATTTTTACATTTTTTTTATCATCCGCAGTCTCACTTTGTGGGGCCCCATTTTTTTAATAACAAATCTCTTACTCTCTATCTCTCTCCTCTTCAAAAGTAACCACATGCATGATCTCATTTTCACTTTTCTTTGGTTTGCGTAGCTAGTGAGTACTCTAGAAAACAGAGGTAGTACATATATATCAATATATGTACCTGATCTACAATCTCCAAGGACTTTTGCGCCTTGTGTCCTTCAAGCCTAAGGACTTACTATTTGTACATTTCTGATTTTTTTACTTAAACTGAAGACATATATGGTGAGAGGGGGTGGTTGGATTGAGAGAGCAGCAGTCAAAGGTTATTCTCTATTTCCTTCATATTGATGAAATTTCCTTGTATTGAAGATGGATCATTTGTTGTTCCGAGAAATAAAAAAGTGACATTGTGAAGTATGGAAAGATCTTCAGTGTAATGCCCATCAGGATAGAGTACTACCTTCTGCCACAACTAACTATGGATGTTAAAGATGATACTTTGTGTAACATATAACCCATTGCTAGTCTTTTTGTTTGTTTGGGTTTATGATATTTGTCACTAAAATCTCTATTGTTAGTTTCAAGTTAGAAGCTAAATTGACTCTTTTGCTTTATATTTTCTTGTTCTTGCTCCAGATCGATCTGAAAAAACAAGTAATCTCCACTCAACTGATGGGGATAAGAACTTGGGCATTGGTTTGCAGAGTGCTTCGAGTATAGATCATTCTGATAGTGGGAGCAGCAAATGTGTATATGAGAGTTATCGTCCAAAGTTGATAGCCCTAAATGGTTGTTGTAGAAGTGAAGCTTCTCAGCTTTTGCATGAACGTATGTGTCTTGATGTGTTTCCATATATTTTGTATTCTTGCTTTATCCTATTTGTTATCATGCATAATTTAGTTCTTTGAGGTTATGCCTAATGCACCTGTATGCTATAGCATTTTTATTATCTTTATTACTTTAGCTTTTCGTAGTCCTAAACTCTGAAGAAAGGGAAAAAGGACATTGATAAGAAAACTAATCTTTGCATAAGGATGTACAGATAAATAAGAATCCGTGTTGGGCATAATGGGTAAGAAGAAACAAATTGAAATTTTGGATAAGTTTCACTTGATGATTGAGATGCTACTAGAGTAATATTTACAAGTTTAGTTTTTGTAGGAAGCACACGTAATGCCATACTTGGCATGTTGTCTATCGTTGCACGTAATGTGTGTTTTGTGGAAATTAATTAATCTCACCGATGAAAAGTGATAGGGAGTATTAATTTTAAGAATTAGAAAGTATATTTAAGCTTCATTGTCATAGAATTTGATTATCTATGTCTTTAAACAAATTTCTTAGAAAGTTATGTGATCATTTTTATAATCACCTAAGGACTCACATATGTATTACCTATTTGTAAGGAACTTTGTTTTTAGAAAACCTCACTAAAGTTATATGATAATAAACGAAAGGTTAGTTCTTTAAGTCAATGCATAGGAAGCATAGTCATCTTTCATTGAGTGAATACTGTTGCTGAAATAGCAAGAGAATACATGAGCAAGTTGAATACTGTTCATGAGCTAGTAGCTCAATTGAAAAGTGAAAATATTGCTTTATTTCTCAGATTCTCGAGGACTATGAAATGAAATAGCAAGAGAATATATAAGTAATTTAAATTGCCTTATGTGCTACATTTCTTTGCTAACCTAAATTTCCTAACATTGCTTATGTACTTCGTTATACTCGAGGGCTTTATAGTGAGGTGATAAAAATAATGGAAGATCGATTTCTAAGAGTGGGTGAATGATTTTTTTTCCCCCTTAAAATAATATGGTGAGGACACAAAGCCTAATTGTTGAGACCAATATCATTAGATTCTACTTTAGTTCGATAAGGATACTAAGAATCGTATCGTATGATTGAGTTGTAGAATTCTGATATTCTAAAATTTGATGATATAATTTGCAATATTATTATAATAATAATTAATCTTTTAAGCCTATGTATTAAATGTTTACTCATAAACTTCATACGTCAGTTCATCATATAAGTACTCCTAGATTGCTTGGATTTAGGAGCAATAATTCAATTACAAATCATATACACTCATACACAAGAACAATAAACAATAAACAATAAGAGCCTTAATCCCAATAACGAGGTCGGTTACATGAACCAATTATTTATCTATTGTACTCGCTATCCTCCCCTTCCATTCCCTTTTGTCCAATGTTATATACTCCTACAAACCCATCTTCTTTGTGTGCTTCTAAACATTTTCCATATAAGTCATATTTGGTCATCCTTTGTCTCATCTAAGATCCCTTTGATCTCAACAACTTTTCTTTAAGACAAAAGTATTGTTGGTTCAGGGTTGGGTTTCTTACTTCCATGTTGCCATTATATCTATGTTTTGATCAAGCCCTTCTGGGTTTATTAATTACTTTTAGCTCCTCTAGCCTTTGGGAAAAGAGTTTTCAGTCTTTGAAACGAGCTCTTGCTTCTTTCTCTTCTTCGACCTTTACAATTTTGTAAGAAAATACATTCAATTTCCTTTTAATTTACCGGCTGACAGTTAGAAACTGAGGCATGTATTAGGTGTATGGTTTTGTAAGTGCCTTAGGAACTCCGTGATTTTTCTCCATTGCTTCCATCTCACAAAAACTTTTCATTTATCTTGGGCACTTAATTTTTAGGGTCTTAGGGGTATTAGTGGCGGGGATTGTTGAATATAAGAGAAAAAGTGTAGGTAGTGGGTATTGTTTATTGTTTTTAAATAGAGGTTAGAGATAATGGGACTATAATGCTTAATGGAGTGTGGAAAATAAAGTTAATATATAGAAGTTTTTGTGGGACAAAGGGTTGTTATGTTGGATCAGTAGGAGAAGTTGTGAAGGAGAAATGTTGCGATAGTTGTTTTGTGGTGCATCTAGTTAGAATGGTAATGTATTTACTGTGTGATTCGTTTTGAGATAAAGTATCATTTTAGCTTCCTTATAGGCTTGATACAATCAGAGAGTTTGCAAGTGTGTCGTGTGTGCTAACTCATGTCAATATCTCCATGGACTCCCTACCCCCATTTTTAAAAGTGCAAATCAACAAACCTCCTTGAAACTTTCCCCCTATTTTGGCCAATAAATATATCTCTCTATGCTTTTCACACCACCATTTGTTGTAAGCTTGAGTGATGTCACAAAGTTTGTTAGTCAAGCTGACAGCCAGAAAACCCAGCAAACCTCCTTGAAAGTTTACAGTTTACTCCATTTTTGCCCTATATTTCTATGTTCTTCGTACCACCATCCATTGCTTTTGACCCTGAAGCTTGAGTGATGTCACAAAGTTTGCTTATCAGGCTGACAGCCTGGTATACCTTTGCAGAAACTACCAAAAATGATTCTCATTGACTTCTCTCTGCTCTAATTAATCCATAGTAAGCCTTTCGGTGCTTTGCTACTTGTCTTGTTGCCAACTTTGTTTTCTTCCATTTTGACTACAATCATCGCCAACTATGTCACCAGCATGTGACCTATGCTACTGCGTATTTATCACTGTCAGAGTGCCAGTTTTCTCTCTCCCCCACTCCTTTTTCAAGTTGCTTTCCTGGATTGATCTGGTAGAATATAAATGATGATCATATCATGTACATTTAGGAAGCCAAGCAAATGATGTTTATTTGTTGACCTTACAATTGTTGTATGTTGGTTTAATATTCTAAGGAATCCGATGATGTTCTTTCACTTATTTATTTGATATTCAAGCTGATTGTTGAATTTTCTTCTTATCACTATTCAAAATCATGTTATGACCGGATGAGTGGGTGATGAATTAATCGATATTCGTTGATAGGCTTATTATTTGGGTGAATTTAATTGGATTCTTATTTTATTAAAGTCAGTGTTCTAATTTTATTATTGTTGTCATTTGAATATGATAAATATTTATTATCTTAGTATCTATTATCTATTTGATAACACATGTGCAACTTACACTAGCGTTTCATCATAAAAGGCAACAAGGCATTCCTATTTTTGGTCCGAAAATTGCCTTAGCATATTTTGATAGAAATTACCCAACCACTGATGAAAGCAGTAATGCTCTCTCATGTCTTACCTTTGCCATTATGACATTTTCATAAACTTGCAGTTTAAATCTAGTTCACATTTTTTTTTTTTTTTTTTGAAAGAAGTTCACAATTTCTTTTTGTTTAAAGCATTACTATTAATTATCTTTCTATGCATTTAAACCAAATGAACAAAAACTTGTCTAAAACATTAATTTATCAAAGAGAATTAAATTGTTGTTGTCATTGCTGCCATTTGATGATTATTAATGTGTTTTCGACTTATCAAATATATATATATATATATATATATATATATATATATATATATATATATTGAGAGTTCCATGATTAGATATATACTATTGAATCAATAAATTTTATTTAATTTTAATTTTCCTTCCTATTCTGTGACAATAGTTGATGTTGATCCATGTATAGACAAGTTTTGGTCTCTGTCATTTACAAAGGGACATGCAGAGCCAGCAAACCTTTTGGTCTCTGTTAAACAGTCAAACAATATAACACATCTAGGATGTTGATTCATATACAGACAAGCAGCTTCATCATATGATTAGATCAGTAAGTATTTTTCCTTGAGAGAAGGAAACTTGATTTAGATCCCAGAGTAGTGTTAGCATACTAGGAGCCAAGTAAATCGGGCCAGTGGATATGCTATGTCTAGGATTGAAATTCTTCTCTTCAGTGGCCTAAGGTCTTAGCATACAAAGTGAGATGTACTCTTGTAACAAATTAATACTACTGACAATAAAATTAAGTAGACTAACATTTTGAAATAGAGCAGACTAATATTGGTTCACAGACTACAGAATTAAAGCAGACTAATATTTATTTTGATCTGAGGATCAAGAGAGGTTTTTTTTTGATTGATTGATTGACTGAGAAAGATTAATTACAAGTAGTTGCTTGCGGCCACAAATCTCAAAAACAATAACATTAGGTCACCAATTTCTACATTTCCCTTACTGCCACAAACTACTCTCTTTTGCCCTTTCTCATCTATTTATATTTATAAGATTCGGGCCAAATGCTTCCAAGGAGATTCTGTCTACCCTAGCTTACTCAAATTACAATCATTTGTCTTTTCCCCCTTAATGATTGCTGCTCCACTAGTGGACTTGTGGAGGGTTGTCCTGTTCATTGCAACTCTCTCCGTTTTTTTTTTTTGTTTTTTTTTTCCCAAGTGATACACTGACTTTTTTTCATGTGATACAGACTTTTTTTTTCAATCAGGATTTTGCCTTTAGAGAAATAAATTCCTATTTGTTTTAGCTTATGAAGAGTCAAATAAATTGGGCTAGTGGATATGCTATATTTAGGATTGTAATCCTTCCCTTTACCGTCCTTGGCACACAAAGTGAGAAGGCATCTGCAACACTGATTGTATAGGATCTAAGGGTTAAACTCTGCCCTAGTCATTGAGGACTTTGTCAGTATGTATCATGGTTGCTTTGATATTCTGTTCCTTTATGCTTTCAGACCGAAATTGCTATTCTAACTATCCTGACTGTACTATATTGCAGGTTGGATGGGAGCTATACATTGCTATAGTGATCCTACTGTAGATTTATCTGGTGAGTGATAGATACCTTCTTCTCTTCCCCTTTTTTGGGGAAAATGATTTTTGAAAAAAAAAGGTTCAAAATTGTACCTTTTAGAGGTTAACTTAAAATCAGATGTATAAATTAGGTTTTAGAATTCGGATCCCATTTTATTTGTGGTCACCCTACATTTAGACTTCGTAGTAAATCATGCCCCTTTCGACTTTTTAATTCTCGTTGATGTTTGGAAGTATAATAATAGTAGTAACATAAACTCCGAAAGGCTATTAAGAAAAATCATACAAAGCTGTTGTTGATTTTAGGAGATATAATAGTAATACCATATATAAGACGCAGCTTATATCATTGTTTGGATCATTTTTCTTGTAGTGTAAGAACATGTTTGATGATAAGTTTAGGTTGTATATTACGTAAACCTTGAAAGATCTTGATTCTCTGATATATCTGCTTGCAGAACGACCAGTCATGTACACAGGAAGTGCTGCATCAGCTTGGGGAAACTTTAGACTTCCCCATCAGGTTTATGCTAATTATGGCATGTGTTTGTGTTCACCAACTTTAGTTGCTCTGGCATAATGCTAATGTAATTTTTTTCCTTATTCTGGCAGTTAATGGCTCCTCCGCAAATGGATTTCATGGCGGAACTTCAACATGCTATCAATAATAATAGTTCAAGCTTGATGAACTAAATGGCTCTTGAGATGCTAGTCATGATATAACATAATATCTGGTGATTTTAAATCTTTAACCTGACTTACGTATTGTTGACAATTGTTATATTCCGAAGGGGTTAGGGGATTTCAAAATTCCCCTGATGGGAATAATTCTAGTAAAATATGTCTATGGCCTCATAATCTTCAATTTAAGTATGTTCTTGAATCATTGAACAGTTCAAACTTTCATTGATAGTCGAGAAGGCAACAGTGAAAAATCAAATGCTAGTGTTAGAAGGCAACACCTTCTAAGTTTGATCTTAAGATCAACGATCTCAAGTTAACAACTATGTTCTCTTCTTTGTCAAAAAAAAAAAAAAAAAAAAAAAAAAAAAAAAAAAAAAAAAAAATAATAATAATAATAAAAAAATAAATAAATAAATAAAACTTTAACAATGTTCTCTTCAAATAAAGCTCTATAATGGCAATTGTTTTTTATTTTTATTTTTAGAACAACAATTTCAACTTTAATTCATATGATTAATATATATCGGAGGGAATGAAAAACAAATCTAACTACTTGTCCTGTAAGCAAACTAAATAAAAATTCCATAATATAAACATGACATAAAGCCTCCATCTTCTCAAAATTCGTAAAAGTATATGTTTATTATTATATTTTTCAAAAAATTGAGATCCTAAATGAAATTTTGCCTTTCTCACTGTTTGGATAGAAGGAAAAAAGAGACGAGAAAGGGATGGGGACAAACTCTCTTTTTTAGGTAAAGGATTGTAGGAAGGAAGGGAAAGGAGGGGGAGAGATCTATTTATTTTCCCTCTCTTTAATAAATATAATTCCTTCAAAATCGAAGAGATTGGAGGGGAAATGGAGTTTACCTCCCCCACCCTTTCTTTCCCCTTCCCGTCCTCATATTTCCCTCCCCCTCCTTTGCTTCCTTATTTTTTTTATCCAAACAAAGCGTTTGTGACCTCATATTTTAACTCGTATGATATTTTAAGATGATTCTTTCCAAAAAGCTTCATAAATTTTCATAATATAAATTATAAACCATTGTCTTCTCCCTCGGAATTTGAAAGCAAAAAACAATTTGATTGTATCCTAAAAAATTAGAAGCTAACTTGAAATCCTGATTTTGCGACCTCAATCTTAACTTAAACTCGCAAAAGATTTTAGCTAGGTTGATTATTTCAAAAGGTTTGTTTTTATTTTTTTGTTTTTTTTAAAAAAAAAATTTAATTTTTTTTTTATTGTTTTTGTGGTATAAACCCTTAATTTCTAAGAATTCGTAAAAAAACAAAGTTGATGTTTTTCCTTAAAATTCAGATTCTAAATCGAAATCTCAACTTTGCAACCCAAAACTTTAGACTCATAAGACATTTTAGGGTGATTCTTTTACGAAAGTTTCTTATATTTTTGTATGAAATAAAGATTTGTCTACTCAAAACTCGAAAAAAACTAAAATTGTTTTTTTCATTAAAATTTAAAGTCCTAAATTGGAATATCAAATTTGCAGCCATAACTTTAAAGCTCCTACAAGTTTAAGGTTGACTCTTTGATAAAAGTTTTTTATATTTTCTTGAGAAATTAGAGTTTCATCTTCTCAAAATTAGATGAGTTAGGGCCTGTTCTCTTACATTGAAATTCAGTTCATTTCAGTTCAGCTCAGTTTAATTCAGTCAGCTCAGTTCAGCTCCTAATTTCCTTCACTTATAATGTAACACCCCAATAATCCTCTCTTTAAACATGTGAAGACCCTGAACAATATTCAAGAGAATTACTGGCGTGCTACCGCCACGTGTTCAAATGTTAAGGCTATATCAGAAATTAGCAGCGAAAAAACTAACTCGGTTATAAATAAGTTTCAAAACCAATAACCAAAACCAAATTAAATCATACAACTTGGAACCATTAAAGCCCTTATTCAAAACCCCACAAAAGTAGTAAATAAATAAAACCAGAGTGTAAATAAAATTCAAACTTATAAAAAGAAATAAACTTCGAATAATAACCGACTCTCTACTCAAAATCCCACAACCAACCCTGATGCGAATGCTACGTATGTAAGAACCTGTGATTAATCTGCTCCCCAATATTATAAGTGTAAAAATTAGATCGTCACAGGGTCATTAAAAGCCGAAGGCCATGACCAAAGAAAGACACACACAAAAGCACGCAATCAGCAAAGTTGAGTACATACAAGATACAAAACATAAAAGAAATCCCTAACATGCTACTAATAATCAACCATTACGCATCATTAGTTTATAGACTCGGCACATGACTCAACTATTTATATTACTAAGACTCCATTAATTAATAATATGTAAATCATTATTTTTTATTCATTGGATTACGCAATAGACAAGGTTGTCCAACCCATGCTCCATTTGGAACATCAATAAAAGAAAAACCCCATGCCTCCTTTCGGAAACATCAATAAACATCCAACGACCACGGGCGCGACTCCGTGACCGTATTTAGTATGAGATCTCATCTAACTCCTAGTCTTGAAAAATATTTGAAATAGGAGACTCGTAGATCAGACGACCTCGATAAAAGTACACGGCTAATACCCCGTGTACCCCAACCCCTGATTGTCATTACTCCAGAAGTGCACCAATCCAGAGTTTTATTGCTCATCCATCTTGCACTTTACGTGATTTACAGGTTTAGACTTAGTGATGACTCATATACAAACAATACGATCAATCCAATATCAATTCAATCAAGTAAAACAACTTTCCAATTTCAATTCTTGATTTATTAGTGACAAGCAACATTTATTAATTATTCCTTTACTACCTCGGTGTATAAACACCTTGAGTGCATAAGGCACCCTAAAACCTTAACCTCGTTTTATAAGACTTGAATTCTTCCGTTACTCACCCTATTTGAATAATCATGAATGAGTAATAAATAAATCATTCCACAAATCACATACCTTTGCCTCTAAGCGCACCTTGCATAATTAGAGCACAAATAATTCTTGCAATATAAAATAGTGCACGTCATACGAAATTCACAATGTATAACCAAACAATTTAACTCGGTCATCCCTATACATGATACTAAGTTCTCGATCCGTCCTTAAACATGCACCTACAAGCAAGGTTTCGTAACTTGTACGTACCTTGAATAAACGAATTGGTATGCCACTTTACTAACTAGAAATCACCTTCAATAAACTCCTCTCCTAAACCAAACAATAACATCTCAATCAATACCCAATCAATCAAATTTTTAGCAATACTAACTTACTTTTAAAACCTTCAAAATCCAAATTAAACAACACTTTAAAACCTTCTCTTTAGTTAAAATTAAAGGTTTATATATAGTTCTTTAAATTTTCTTCATATAAACCTTAAAATACACTCTTATACATGAAATTACAGCAAGTTTAAAGTTTAATAAAAATATGAAAAATTATTTTAAAACCCCTAATAATCTCCCTTTTTAGTGGGTGATTAAACCCTCTTTATAAAACATCAAAAGTAGTACTTAGAAACTATTTCCAGCACTTAAAACTTCAATAAAAACATATATTTATGCTTAATTAACTTTAAACATAATTAATTTTATCAATCAAACTCAAGGACAATATTGTAAGTATAAAAAAAACTTCGTTAAATCAAAAACTGCCTGAAAATCATATTTAGAGGCTGAATTTGGCCATGAGAGGGTGGTGCTCATTACCAAAAGTAATGAGTCTTTTTTAAAACGTTATTTCCACATGGAAAACACTACTTATTCATCAAAATCGATTGAGTTCAGAATCTGATCGGGATTAAAACGGGATTAATATTAACGAACGAAAATCTAAAAATTAAAACACGAATCTACGTGTTCAAAATAATCTGGAATTAAGTTAAACTAATCAGTAGTTATAATCACCAAAATTTCAAAACATCATTACTATAAAAGCCCTAAATCAATTGTTCATAAAAAACCCTAAAATCATGATTTTCAATAAATTGAAACCCTAGGTTTATAATTCATAAAATATGAAAATTTATAACATAAATATAATCTGAAATTTATAATCTTTATACCATCAAAATATAATTTGATACTAAAAATATAATCTTTATACTAAAATCAAAACCCAAAAAATTAAATTAACATTAAGCAAAATAATGAAACAAAGGAGGATGAAAATAGGACTAACCTTTTTGTGTGGGAAATTTTTGGAGATTCATGGGGTATTTATAGGAGAGAAGTATTGTAGGATAAAAAGGAAGATTGGGCCTCATAAAAATTATGGGTCAATTAAGTTTACAAATGGGTTAGGCTTGTTTGATTGGACATAAATTGTAGAATAAAGGTGCATAAAATTATTCGTTCAAATACTTTTCGACCCAGATTAATAATTTGAAACTTGTGAAATTAAATTATGAAAAATAACAAATAAATATTATAAATAAAATAAATTTTCATTTATAAAATATTTTAAAATACGGGGGATTACATATAAAATATTCATTTCAGTTTAATTCAATTCAGTCAATGAGAACAGACCCTTAATTTTTTTAATCACCATATATAAATATTTCAAATTCCACATACACTCAAGTTCCACAAAATTTTCACAAAATGCCCTTAATGACCAACGAAAGTTAATTCCGTTAATCATTAACGTTAAGTATGCCACGTGGAGGCACATTATTGGTTATTTAAATTTATTTTGTTAATTATTTTTTAAAAAAACTTTTAAAATAAATTTCAAAAAAAAATCACCTCCAGCCACCTTACACTAAACCACTTCTCACCACCGCCACCCAGCCAGCCTCCTTGCTGCCGGTGCCTAGACTCCCTTCCCCACTGTGCCGGCACCGCCGCCCCTTCCCCTAAGCCTCTCCTCAACCCCCTTAAGCCGTATAAACCACCACCACTTAAACCGTAAAAACCTTTGAAAACCAGCCACCATCCTTAAACCCCGTCGCCGACAATCCAAATTCCCTCGCCCAATTTGGCCGAAAACACCAACCCGAAATCATAAAATCCCAAAATCGAAACCTTAATTTTGAATTTTGGGTTTCGGGTTTCGACATGGTGGTTGAGGGGGGTGGAGATGGCATGGGGAGGGGCTGTAATCCCCCATATTTTTTAAATATATTATTAAAGAAATTATATTTTATTCATAATATTTATTTGTATTTTTTTTCGGATTTAATTTCAAAAGTTTCAAATTATTTTTGGGGTTGATAAACGATTTTATTACAAAGAACTTTTTATGAACCTTCCTTCTATAATTTATGTCCAACAAACAAACCAAACCCAGTTTACTTTCTTAATTGACCC